AGCCAGCGCACCTAGCAGAAGAGAACTGAAACGTGCATGTTAACCCACTCACAAACCCACAAACACACAAACCAACACTCAAACACACGCCGGTGAAAACATAACCCCCGCCAAGCCCCTGGCGGAGGTAATAAACATGAGTGGAGAAGTCCCCTGGTGTATCATAGAGTGTCGAGGCACGAGGGTTTGTTACAGACAAATTCATTAGTCGGTTAGATTTTGACAGGTGAAGGATAGTTAGCTTAGAGGATTTTTCTTCTTCTAATTTCTGACACATATATGCTAGTACAAACATGTTACTACCACCACCACAGACACAACCACTACTACCACAACTGCCCCCCGCTGCCACCACCACTGCTCATACTAATAGCTTTACCAATACTACTAATATAACTAGTTAAGTACAATAGCAGCTCACCAGTTGTACAAATGTTGTCAACTTTATGCGTTGAAAAATCTCGTCCTTTCGATACCTGGAATCTAAAATGTAAACGTACTCCAAGTTCAACGTAAGTTCAAATAAACAAATAAACGTAGATGAATAAATTCACTCTACTATTACATCCATGTACATGGGCGGATCCAGAGGGGGGGTCCAGGTCCGGACGGCCCCTTCTTTTTACCCCAAAAAAGTAACACAAATGGAATAACACATAAAAGATCATTTCTGCTTAAAATTCGGGAAATCCAATCTTCAATCAAAGACATCAAAATTACTGCTCAGATGCTCTCAGAATTCATCGCCAACATTTTAAAAATTTTCCTGGGGAGTCCCCCTAACCACCGCCCGCCAAGTGCAACGTGCCATTAGCACGGCGCATAAGCTGCCTATCAGGCAGCCGTTCTGCATACTAACATAAGTTCGCTCCAGAGAACGGTGTGGCTTCCATACAAAATTACCATATTTTCAAGCAAAGATGTCCAAAGAAAATTTGGCAGACGATGCAACCGGCAATGAATCTTCATAATAATTAAGCACATGCGTTATGTTAATACTTGTCTTTGGAACTTCAGACTGCGTAGTGGCGGTACTCCCAGTCTTTTGAAGGCAGGGCAGTCCGTTGTGACGCTCTAATTCTCAAGAAGATTAATTTCTTACCCGCCTGTAGACAGTGTGTGAAGATATATGACTCACTCTGTCTCAGTTCGGCCATCGTCGCCATGTATCGTCTCAAGACTTGAACTCTGTGACAGCAATAAATCCCACGCGATTTTCAAATCATGAACGAGGCAGAGATATATAATATATATATATAATATTATTATATATAGAGAGAGACGAGAGATGATGGAGAAGATAAGAGAGAGAGAGAGAGAGAAGAGAGAAGACAGAAAGAGAGAGAAAGAGAGAGGGGGAGAGAGAGATAGAGCTAGAGACAGAGAGAGAGAGAGAAGGGGGGGGGAGAGCAGTAAAAACATGGAGACACTTACGATAATATAGATGAAAATAAATAAATATAAATATAGAATGAGGTTCTGGTTTCATGAAGCCTGGCGAACAGACTGTTCTCGAAAGCTTGCGAAAATAATATATTGATGCCTCATTCTATTTTTACATTTAAATATTTTCATATTTTAAGACAGACAGACACACGCACACATATAATATATTCAATAACAGAAAGGGCAACACTTTAGGCCCGACTCAACAACAGTAGCCGACGGTGACTCAAGCACTTGTATGAACATTGACCGCAAGTAGCAGAGAAATATCAGCAAGTTCGAACAATCGATGAATGAATTTACACAGCTGATTGCCCTAATGTGCGCAGCTACACACACGAGCTGAAAAAAGAGGCAGTAAACGCAGACGGCGTTCCGTAACAATACTTTCCGTAACTGTATGCGGCAACAGAAGTTGTATTGATTTGATCAAAACTAGCTTGTTGAGCTGTCGCTATGGTTACAAGCACAAAATGTTCACAATAACTTATACAACAACCATATGACCTACGCGAGGCAACTGAATTAAGTAGCAAATTAGCAGCATGATGATGAAGGGGAATACGTATTTTATATATGTTATTATACAATCCTATAGTTAGCCAAAACGTAATTTGCAGCTTCATTTGGATTAATATGCACTTTTATGCTTAGACAATATTACGATGCAAATGCAACGTAAGATAAATCATTGTACTTGTAGGCTCAGTAATATTAAGGACTGCTGAGTCAATGGATTGCTCAATTATCAGTCAATACTTACCAATACATCATTACATCATGTACTTTATTAGCCCCAAGAAACGGTATTGCTAGGGTTAGAATACCCCTGTATATTGACGTTAGTCACACAGCCTGGTCGGGTTAGTGTACCCAATACTCCTACTTTGAACCAAATCAACGCCTTGGCACAGTCTGGAACAGAGTTCACTCATCCACCTGTAGGGTATCCTAACCTGTCTTCATTCAAAGTATTATGCATATGACGATCGTGCAATAAAAAGCGCATAAAAAGCAGAAAAAAACTACATTCGGTGACTGATTCGGTTCGGCTTACCTGTGTCAACTTTAGACTTCACATTTTTGAATCGCGGGTTTTCAGGGATCTTCTTCTCAAGCATCTGTGCAACGAAATACGCCAAATAATAAGTTGATAAAATATAGACAAATCACTCTATGAATAAACCTCTTTGCATCAAATAAACATAAATTTTACCGATTTTGGAGGCTTCGAAACTCTGCTGGAATAGCAAGACATCATTCAAAACCTCCGATATCAGGCGCTCTAATCTCGCTTCGCAACCGACGCTCCCGCCACCTGGGTGGAATTACTTGAAACCAAGGAGATGAAACGACGCATACGTGGCGTCATTTTGGGTCAGAGTTTGCATCTAAGCAGAATAGTAAACAATGATAGAAATACATACATATAGGCTGTGGTACTAATTAATGCGACAAAAAATGTGTGTAGAGCGTGAAGATATTTGCATATGCTCTGTGTAGAGCGTACAGTGTCACGAGTGTAAGATATGTATTTGCATGTACAAGTGCATGCATGTTTACCTTACTTTATTTATTCTTGGTCATGTAATTCTTATTTGTTAATTTGTCTTTTTCTTGCGCCCCCCCCCCGGAAACCGTTGAGCAATTGTCAAGAGTGACAGATCGACGTAACCATATTATAGATATAGATGTAGATAGAATACGATTATCAAAGCACATGAATCGTTTATTCCCATATCGCATTCTTTAATGAATATGTTAGCCGCACGGTGGAGCCACTTTGCAGCAATGCACATAAGGCCAGGCATGCGTCAAGTTTTCGTTATAATCATAGAAATAGATAGATAACTATCTATCTATCTATCTATCTATTTCTATGGTTATAATATTATACGAAATCGGTAAAGTGGCAAGCTAACACATTAATATCTGTTTTACATCGGCATGTGATTCCATAGCTATCTACGATTTCAGCTCCGATACGTCACACGCGCTACAATGGGGCCGTGCTTAATAAACAAGTTCATCTTGACAATATGCAAATATGCTTTTTATATATGCAAGTAGCTCTAGTACTATAGCCCGCGTTCATTAACTGCCGCAGCCTGCAGCAGTTAATGAACGCGGGCTATAGTACTAGAGCTAATATGCAAGATACAATTAAGGCTGAAAAATGAGATATCTTATTGGGATGCGGTGAGGCGGTAAAAATAATGTTAGTTATTTGGTTGGGACCTAAATACATTATCAATACACAATCTACGCACTAATAACGCACGGCAGAGAATTGTCCTATCACACTACCCGCAAACTATTATTGTAATACCAGGAGCGTAGTTAACCCAATCTGCAGGGGAGACTAAGGAGGCGACTGCCATTGACCATGTGTTGTATTTACATTTTTCTGCATGGACTCCATCCTTGCCCTCTACCCTTGTTAGCTAGTCCTGAATAATGAGATTAAGCAAGCAGGGATGGTAACACAATAAATATAAGTGTATATTCGCGCAAACACGAGTGCAGTTCATTCAGCAACTCAACTCCCTCCCTCAACCTACGCAGACGCACGCCTATATGCATTCACGCGCACGCTTGCGCGCCCATCACACGCATGCACGCATGTACACACAGGCACGTATGCACGCACGCAAGCACAGGCATACATGCACGCATACGCCCTTCAAACCAGTGAACACAAAAACACTCGCGCGCGCACGCATACGCGCGCACACACGCGCTTTAGAGAAATAATACCGTTAAAAATCAAATAGTTTTCACGTTTATATCATTGTATTGACACGTATTATATTCCATCATATATCTTTAATTATATTTTTCGCACAACATAACAATCGGCTTGGACTTTTTATAAAGAGCATCACACGTTACGTCATCATCGTATCAAAAACGGTGGTGAACTTTTAATTCTTTATTAGAGTTCAATACTGCGCAATAATCTATAGTTACTGTGAACAAATTACATGAACCACAGTTGAAACCTCGATTAAAATCAATCTGTATGTACAATTCAAACTGGTAAGAATTTGCCATGAACCTGTGAGTGTAGGCCATGTATCACAAATTGTGCACGGCCAATTATCACATTCTGCAGCCTGTATTAGTACTACTATGTTCGCCCGCTAGGCTCTGCCGTCTCTCTCTCTCTCTCTCTCTCTCTCTCTCTCTCTCTCTCTCTCTCTCTCTCTCTCTCCCTTCCTCTCCCCCCTCTCTCTCCCTCTCTTGCTTGCGCGACGTCTCTCCCTTCATCTCCCCTCTCTCTCTCTCTTGCTTGCGCGACCTCTCTCCCTTCCTCCCTCTCTCTCTTGCTTCCTCTCTCTCTCTCTCTCTCTCTCTCTCTCCCTCTCTCTTGCTTGCGCGACCTCTCTCCCTCCCCCTCTCTCTCTCTCTCTCCCTCTCTCTTGCCTGCGCGATCTCTCTCACCCTCCCCTCTCTCTCTCCTCTTTCTTTCTTTCTTCTCCCTCTCACCACCTCTCTCTATCTCTATCTCTCTCTCCTTTGCGCACGCTCTCTCTCGCTAGCCCTCTCTCGCCTTCTCCCACCCATATATGCTCTATTCTCGCTCTCACTCTCGCTTTCCCTCGCTCCCTTCCCCTCTCTCTATTCCTCCTTCTCCCTCTCTCTCTCTCTCCCTCTCGTCCTCTCCCACCCATTTTCTCTCTATTCTCTCTCACTCTCTCCCTCGCTCCCTTCCCCTCTCTCTATTCTCTCTCACTCTCTCCCTCGCTCCCTCCCCTCCTCTCGCCCATTCTCTTCTTCACTCTCTCCCTCTCTCCCTTCCCTCTTCTATTCCTCATCTCCCTTTCTCTCTCCCGCCGTCTCTCCCACCCATTTTCTCTCTATTCTCTCTCTCACTCTCTCTCTCTTCCTCGCTCCCTTCCCCTCTCTCTATTCCTCCATCTCCCTTTCTCTCTCCCTCTCGTCCTCTCCCACCCATTTTCTCTCTATTCTCTCTCTCACTCTCTCCCTCGCTCCCTTCCCCTCTCGTGCTATTCTCTCTACTCTCTCCCTCGTCCCTTCCCTCTCTCTATTCTCCATCTCCCTTTCTCTCTCCCGCCCGTCCTCTCCCACCCATTCTCTCTCTATTCTCTCTCTCACTCTCTCTCTTCCTCGCTCCCTTCCCCTCTCTCTATTCCTCCATCTCCCTTTCTCTCTCCCCTCTCGTCCTCTCCCACCCATTTTCTTCTATCTCTTTCACTCTCTATTTCTCTGGCTCTTGCTCGTTTCCTCTCCAACTATCGATATATGTCTATCGGGATCTCATTCGCTCCCTCCATCGTCTTCTTTTTTTCCCGCATCCCATCATTTCAATAAATCCTTACAGTAACAGTATTTCCGCAGATCTTCTCGCGTGTCCATAATGCAATGAGGTGCGTCGCCATATTTGTTCACTCTGCTGATGCGACTGGCGTCCACCTGATCAAGCTGACCTTTCAAGAGGGTCAAGGTCGCCTCGAACAATCCGGATCCAGGCTCCGTGCTGACCGTCACGCGATAGTCGATCCGGACGACGTCCGGACGGTTGTGGAATTCCGGAATCAAGCCATCGACGTCTTTGGTCTTGGAGAAGGAAAGCAGACGACTGTTGGGTTTGAAACTCGAGGCGTTGACGATGTGCGAAAGTCGCAGCTCTGCGCATGCGTCAGCCTCGGTGGCCACTAACGTGTTAATGTAGTCGACCAACCCGCTAGCAACCGTCTGGAAGTAATATGAACTAACGATAAATGAGGATAGGATAATAGTCGACAATAATTGAAGACAAAAATATTAAATATATGAATAGACCTATTATATTATAATAAATCTTATAATTGGTACCTGTAAATATGAATGGAACATTATAAGTGGTTTTATATCGAAATTATATCGATATCGATTGTATCACGGAAACTTCATAATTAATGCCGATCCTGAATGAATCTAAAAGATAGTTCCAATTATGAACAAATTAGTTAACATAGTTTAAAATATTCATGAACTTATCGACGTGCACCTGTATTTTGGGGTCTGCGACGGGCACGGGTTCCCACGCCAGACATGCGCACCAGTGCATGTCCACACCAGCATCCTCGCAAGATCTATCGCGCGTTATAGCCGCCAGGGGGCTGATCCCGCGCGGCAGTAGACCCATCGCCGCTGGCGCCCTCTCGCGGGACGCCACAACGTCGACGAGCAGTTCGTGAATGTCGTATGGCGTCGTCAGCACGTTGCTGTTCTCCTGTAGATGGCGCCACTTGTCCGGATGCCGACGCGGGAACCAGGGCGGTAGCGTGACCGACACGAAGGGCATTCGTTCCTCTAGCAATCCCTGTGACGTAGCACGGAACTTACTGAACCTCGTTCCGTGATCACTGAACAACAGCAACGCCGTTCTATTCAGCGCACCTCCGTCGTGTAGTTCGCGCAGCAGCCGCAAGATGTCGCCGTCGGCGTACTGCAGTCGGCTGGGGTCGTCGTGCGACAATTCATTGTAGAACAGAAACGCAAACTTCCGCAGATTCGGGTACGCGAACACGAAGTCGCGCAGGTAGGCGAGCGCCACCTGGTGTCGAGGCCGCGCACCGAGACAGAGCTCGCGCTCCCTGGCGAGCGCATTCTCGAGCTTCAGGTAGAAAGTGCGCATGTAGTGATCGGTCGGCTGGTGTTCGAATCCGCGCATTCGAAGCTGGTATGTCCCGATTCCCGGGTGATCCTCACCCATCATCGTCAGGTAGCCGGCCGCCTTAAACTGCTTCCATATCATAGGGTAGACGTCCACGGTGTCCGACGTACGGACTCGCTTCAGTACCGTCGGCAGTTCTAACTCGTTCCTGCCCGTCAACATGGGCGTGAGTGCCTGCGGTGTGCCGTCTCCCACGATATTGTACGACTTCAACAACACACTGCCGAGTACTGACGTCATGTACGCGTACGTGCGCGGCAGCATCCGTTGCCAGGCAACCTGCGACACGGAGTCCATGCCGATCATGATGACGTCAAGTTGAAGTCCGCCGTTTCCGCTAGAGGGCGCTAGTTTGGCGACGGCGACTTCGTCGTAGGCGACATGCGCGTGGTAGTTGACGTAACTTGGCTGGGATGTGAATATGTTGAAGCGGGATTGTCCCTCAGTCGTTCCTCGACACGTTACCCGAAAAAAGTCGTGAGGCACGAGCATACCGCTGTATAGCAGCGGTTTCTCGTCTGCGAGTTTAGATTTGAAGTCGCTGACGCGTTCGATCGCCGCGTACGTGCACGTGACGCTGTCCGGTGTCACGTTCAACGCTCGCAGCGCCGTCTTGTTGTAGTGGAGCCCTCCTTGGTGCGTGTACACCCACTCGTGCGCGCGGCACTGTAGCGGTGGCAACGGCCGGTAGAGGGCGTCCAACACGCCGCTGTCGCGCATCAAGTCCGGATGCACGCAGCTGCGCGACTTGTCACCTGGCGGCGAGAAATTGAACGACGGTCTCAGCAGGAAGAAGCCGACGCCTGAAGTGACGCGCTCGCTCCATAGCAACGCCGACCAGACGACCAAGCCGATGACGACGCAGACGGGCGAATCGGCGACGGGCATTTCGAACGCAGCCTGATAGCATTTAGCATTCTGCCGACGCAGAAACAATGCATGGCGTCAGTGCGCACGCTGATCGCCCGTTGATCTATTGCATCTATATGCGCGTCCTTGCCGTATATTGAACAACAGACGAGTTTTTATCTTCACATCGAAGCAAAGTCCGTGTTTACTCCGCCTCATCATCGGTCGAGACGCCATGACGAAGCAAAGTCCGTGTTTACTCGCCTGGTGAGTGTATTTGAGAAGCCACCAGCATATCAGACGCGACCAGTACCCTCTCCCTCACTCTACACCGCTGGCTCGCTGCTGCGCGCACACACACACACACACACACACACACACACACACACACACACACACACACACACACACAACCCCCACCTCACATACCACACCTTACCCCACACGCCCCAACACACTATACCCTACTCCACACCCCACACACCGCACCAATATGTGGCAACCCAACTATATATATATATATAATTCTATTCCTATATTGATATTTGTAAAAAAATATATCACGATCTAATGATAACATTGTGAAATTTAATTGACCCCAACTACAAAAATAGATAGTATATTCTCTGCTATGTATGACTCTATGACGCCCGCAATGTGGACCAGGAGGTGGCGACACAACTGGTGAGATATGGAACTAATCTATAAAGTAGAGTGATCTCAATATACTAACGACCAATTCTGCCATTAGGCATTATCGCGACACGATAAAATGCATTGCTGTTACGACGTGTTCATATCCAATTTTCTATGCTATAACTGCATAAAATATTAGTATTTTTAATGTTGGTGTAATCAGTGATATTTTCGCTGTCAGGTGAGACTATATTCAGCTATATTTAGTTTTTCTGAGCAAAAATCTCGCAATAGTCATTTTAACATTCATACAATAGTTCTTGTTCGGCATAAATCTAGCTGAAAATATATTGTAATAAATTATATATATCGTAATAAATCAAGTAATTCGTAAATATTCAGTAAATCATTCGTAAACTCATTAGGACGCATAGGCCTACACTACAGCTATAGCCGAAATATAAAAGAAGACACGTGCAGCAATAATTATTTATTGTATATTAGAGTATATATACTTAATATATCTATGATAGTGGCGACATAGGCTATACATTATATGTTGTATACTAATATTAAAATCTTCGTTATCTTCCTGTAATAATATTGCCAATGTCCTTATATAGCACGTGCCTTTGAACTCAACACACACAGCACACACGTACCACGCGCACGCACACGCACACACACACACACGCACGCACGCACGCACGCACGCACGCACGCACGTACGCACGCACGTGCGTGCGTGCATGCGTGTGTGTTTGTGTGTGTGTGTATGAATATATATTGTACAAAAATCAGTAATAATTACTTGAACGTAACAATGTCTTACACTTTCTCTACACAGTTGATCCTTGCTCTTCTCGCTCATCGTGGGACTACGACAGCAAACGTCTCACGTCCTCTCTCTAGCAGTCAAGCCGGTCGTTCAACACCAGTGACAGCGCTTGACTATAACGACGTCGGCTCTATTGACCAGAACCAGACTAGATGTGACAAGACCATAACCAGACTAGATGTGACAAGACCAGAACCAGACTACATGAGACCGGTGTACCTGCGGGTAGAGTCGCATCGTCTGCTGACGGCGACGTCTAGCGATGACAATATATATCACGGCGTCGTTATATAGGGTCGTTGCCCGCCCCACGTTGTCAACCCCGGTGTGCTTGAACAATCCGTCCCCAGGCTCAAGCCTGAACTAGAAATACTGTTGTTATATATAACATACACACATAGACGCACGCACGCACGCACGCACGCACGCACGCACGCACGCACGCACGCACGCACGCACGCACGCACACACACATAAACGCACGCACACACACGCGCGCGCTCTCTCTCTCACACGCACGCACGCACGCACACACACACACACACGACGTATAATTAAGTACATCAAATATATATGTAAACGAAGGCTGCCGATTAGAGCAGAATATTTATTACCACAATATGTCACCATATATTACATAAATAAATATATTATATAAACATTACATACATATCCCGCCAGAATATATGCGCTGATTTCAATTTACCGCATTCGTTCATTACCGCTGCAATTCATTAGTGAAATAATTTGGAGGCAGGAGATCCATTGGTCTGCTACCACTAAAAACTTTTACTACGTATAAAAGCATGATTTGTTTAGAGTTCTCCCGAAAACTCGTCATCGTCATCGTCACTGCCATTGCCGTCGCCTCTATCGTCATCATCGCCGCCGTTGCCGCCGCCGGTGCCATCGTCATCATCGCCGCCGTTGCCGCCGCCGGTGCCATCGTCGCCGCCGCCGGTGCCATCATCATCATCGGCCTGCCGTTAAGCCGAAATATGCGCCGCGGTGGCCAAATCGTCATCATCGCCGCCGGTGCCCATCAGTCATCATCGCCGCCGTTGCCAAGCCGCCCGGTGCCGATCGTCATCAATCATTGCCGTTGCCAATAACGCGCCTGGTGCCATCGTCAATCATCAAGAGCCAGGCCGGTGCCATCGTCATCATCGCCGTCCCAGTTGCTGCGGGCCGTGCCATCGTCATCATCGCCGCCGTTAGCCGCCGGAGCCTAGGCGCCAATCGTCATCAATGCGCAGCCGTTGCCTGCCAGCAGTTCCTAGCCATGCGATCATCAATCGCCGGCCAGTGCCGCGCCGACTTAGTTGGGGGATCAAAAGAGCCATCATCATACATCGCCAAGCTCTGGCCTAGCCGATCGTGCCATCATCGCCGCCGTCGTTGTCATTGTCGACGTCGCCCGGCAAGAGTCCGACGCTCGTCACGTGTCGGTAGAATCCGTCGGCGTTCCTCATCTCGCTGATCTCGCACAGGTACATGCGATCGCACGTCTGCCCGCCGACGCTGTCCCCCGCCCGTGACTCGTACGCGCGCTGGTCCACGTAGTACGTGCCCAGCCTGCGCGCGAGCGGACGAGACATCTTCATCACGGTGAGGTGTGGAACGTAGTCGAGCGAGTGGTGTACGCGAACACCGTTGTTCAGCAGGTGATCCTGCAGTTCCTGAACGAACGCGAGGAAGCGCTCGTCCCGCCGCGTCGCCGCGTACAGCACGCGCTGGTTGAAGGTCGCCAGCGCGGGAAACTCGAGCGCGAGCGGACCCGCGGCGAGAAACCGCCGCAGTCGCCGCGGCGCCGCACGCAGCGCCACCTGGCAGGCGCGGACGTCGTCGGGGCCGTCGAGCCTCAGCATCGCGAGGGTGACGTGCAGCGCCCCCGTGTGGAGGAATCCCTCGGCGAGGCGCGGGTCGTACGCCCGCACGTCGGCCTGGATCGCCGTGACCTTGGCGATGACCTCTGGGTTGGTGACGTGGACGGCGACGAAGTAGTTCGGACGGTCGGAGAGATCGTACCGAACGTCGGCCGTCGCCTGTGAGAGAGTGAACTTTGCGTTTCCGCCGCCATCGCCGAAGTCTTCGTCGTCGGAGTCGTCGGAGTCAGTGGCGCCCTCTTCGTCGTCGGGATGCAGGGCGTCGTAAGCAGCAATGGCGTCGTGAAGGTCGCGGGTGTCGCCGGTCGATCCAAACATGAGGTCGAGACGTTCGCTCTTGTCCCAGACCTGACACATCGTCGAAACGTCGTCGTCGAAACGTCGTCGTCGAAACGAGATTAACATTAAAGACGCAAACGAGATTATCATTGTTATTGTTATTGTAACTAGTCTAAATATCACATTAGCAATTAGTCCCACAGAGTGTTCATAGAGAGCGGACGTGGATGAGTAGAGTAGAGTGTTCATAGAGAGCGGACGTGGATGAGTAGAGTAGAGTTTGGTATTTATACTCAACCCAATCATACATTGGTTAGGTGTCAGAACTATTAGATAGTGCTGACACCTACCGTTCTTGTACTAGCAGTACATCACTGCTAGTTGGTCATCACTAGCAGTACATCACTGCTAGTCAGAGACCGGTCATCTTTAGTACTACAGGCTTACATGGGTAGAACATCTAGACGCGAGATCGAACCAGTGACTAGAGACTAGAAGCGGTGGGGTGGAGGGGGGGCCTCCACACTCTTAGAGGTAGAAATTAACTTGTGAACAAGGGAGTCCGTTTGACTCCCTGCCCTCAAAAAGAGGGAGACCGCAGCAAAATGAGGGAATCCGCAGTCTGAAGTTCAAAACTACAGATATTAACAATAAAGCATGTGCTTATTTTAAAGATTCATGCGGTTGCACGTCTACCAAATTTTCTTTGGACATTTGCTGAAAAACTAGGGTAATTCTGCGAGGCCATGCTCTAGAATGAACTAGTTAGTACAGCAGAATTTTCAGGGAGTCACACGGACTCCTGCATATATAAAATCAGGGAGTCCGACAGTAAGTCAGGGAGAATTTGACTTCGGACTCGCGTTAATTTCGTAGCCTGCACTCTGCACAGCTAGCTAGGTTACCTTCAGTCCTCGGTACTTGAAGTACTGTATGCGATGCTGCGGAACGGCCAGCTCCTCCACGTCGTCGACGGACGCGAGGTCCTCTCCCCAGCAGAAGTGAGAGAACGGCCGCTCGACGACCCCGACGAAGCGATCGACGTAGCCGACGACGAAGCACGCCTCGGCTAGACGCGCGTCCCAGCGCACCCGCGACACGCAGTCCGCCGCCGTCTTCATCCGAGGCTTCTTCTCTCCCTCAGCGGAGGTCTCCTCCTCCTCCTCTCTCCCCTTCCCCTTCTCCTTCTTCTTCCTCTTCGGTTTCTTCTCCTTGCGGCGGCGGCGGGATGCAGGAGACGTCGCGGCGCGATCTGTCTCGTCGGCGGCGTTCGTCGGCGTGGCGACGGCCGCGGCGATGACCTCCCTCATCGTCGGCTTCCCCCGCCGCTCGTTTGCCAGCGCCTCCAGGTGGCGCTGTGCGTGGGCGATCGCCGGAGCAGCGAGTCTCGTGCAGGTGAAGGTGATGACGGGCATGTCGTGCGGATACGTGTCTGCGAGCGGAGGTGAGAGCGATGGCAGTGTGAGAGAGCTCTCTCTCTCTCTCTCTCTCTCTCTCTCTCTCTCTCTCTCTCTCTCTCTCTCTCTCTCTCTCTCTCTCTCTCTCTCTCTCTCTCTCTCT